AAGGAAAGCCTTTAAAGGAGAAGAGTAACAGTGGGAAGAAAATTCAATTTAGTGCTTTCTTATGGAATGGGGTAATGTTAAAAATGGGTCTCACCACTAATTCTGCTCCAGACAAGAGTCTGCACACAAATCCTGCCTGGAAACTATTTCCTTGCATGAAAAGTTTGACCCAAATAATTTCTGAGGTGAATATAAAGCACAGCTTCCCCTGGATATCTAATTCCTTCTTTCTCTCCTGCAGCTGGAGATCCATCATTGACCATCTCCTCACACATGAGAAAACCATGTTTAAGGATTTGATGAGTAAGTATCAGCTGCTGATCATTTATTTCTACCTCAATTTGAAATCTATTTGCATTTGAGCCATTTGGGTGCATTTTTATTACACTGATTTATCCATAAAGTGCTGACTATGCATAACTGACCATTTTGGGAACTTCATTCCCAGCTAAAGCTGAGTTAAATCACGATTTTGGTCATGTCTAAAACACACCAGAGGAGGTTTTGCTGTAGAGGTGCTTCTGTTGGGTTCCCACATTCACATTTTGCTCGAATTTTGAGTTGTCCAAGTGTGGCCTTTCCCAGGAGGAGACTTTGGCAAACTGCAGATGTCTGCCATGAGCAGAGCAGCAAACCTTCAGTTGATGTGCTGTGACCTCTAATTCAGGCTTGAGGAGAGTGTGGAACAACAAATCTTGGGGAAAAGGATGGGATAGAACCCTTTAAACTGACCTCAAGCAGCTTTAATCTCTTTTTCAGCCTTTCTAAAAGAATCCTTGAACACTTAGAACACAAATTTTATTACGCAAGACGAATTCGCACTCGGTGACTCAGAGAAATTATTATTTTTGAATTTTTTTGGTAGAAGATTTCAGGACACAGGGATTATTTGCAGGCAGGCAGTTTGTGAGGGGTGGATTATTGTGCTGTGTGTTGCAGCCATGCAGAGCAGTGCCCTGAAGCTGTACCCCAGCTTTGAGCAGAAGGCGATGCTGCTGAAGCGCCAGGCGTTCGCTGTCTTCAGCGGGGAGCTCGACCAGTACCACCTGTACCTGCCCCTGATCCAAGGTGAGCCTTCATCCCTTCAGCTGCAACACAAATCCCTTTGTCCCTGCATCCCTGGGAGTGTCCAAGGCCAGTTTGGTTGGAGATTGAAGCAGCCTGAGGGTAGATGAAGGTGAAGCCCATGGATAATGTTTAATTAAACATCAAACTCCCAACCTGAACCATTCCACGATAAAAATTCTGCAACAAAGCAAAGTCACCTCTTTTCCAACAAATGTTTTTTTTTAATTTAGAACAAAATTTATGAATCTCTGTGTTCTAACAGATAAATGATATCAGCAAATGTCAGGATTGATATGGGTTTAGATTTTCAAAGAGCAGAGCAGTTGGTAGTTGCTATAAAGTTGTTTATTGTAAAGACTTTGGCAGACTCTGCAGGTGCCTGCCATGAGCAGTGCAGCAAACCTTCAATTGATTTGCTGTGATCTCTAATTCAGACTTGAGGAGAGTGTGGAAGAACAAATCCTGGAGAAAAGCATGGGATGAAGGTGAATTACACAAGCAAGGAAAGACAGGAATCTTGGTTTCCAGGCCTTTGGTCTGGAAATGTGATTATTTCATGGCAATCTTCCACCCACTCTTGACCTGTTGTTGTTCTCCCAAAATGCCAGTTTTGATCACATTTTGTGCACTATAAACCCACTCAGGCTATGTCTGAATTATAAATTAGTTTATACAATGCAAGGAACTCGGCCCAAAACTGATGATAAAGGAAAAAATGTGTTTTGCCACCTTCTACAAGGTGGAGAGGGACAGAATGACAGGACAAAGGGGATTGATCTTAAACTGAATGAGGCAGGGCTGGATGGGATCTTGGGCAGGAATTGTTCCCTGGGAGGAGCTGGGATGGAATTCCCAGAGCAGCTGTGGCTGCCCCTGGATCCCTGGAATGTTCAGTTCCAGGTTGGACATTGGGACAGTGGGAGGTGTCCCTGCCATGGCAGGGGTGGCACTGGATAATCTTTAATATCCCTTCCAACCCAAACCATTCCAGAATTCCACATTTTAATTCCCAAAACAACAACACAAATTCAGGATAATGCCTCTTTTATTTTGTTTTTTTTCCTTTTTTGGATGCTTCCTACAGAACGTCTGACTGAGAATCTCCGTGTGGGTCAGACCTCTCTGGTGGCTGCCCAGATGTTTCTCTTCTTTAGAGTTCTTTTATTGAGGATTTCCCCTCAACATCTCACCTCCCTGTGGCCAATCATGGTCACAGAACTGGTAAGAAAGAAGTTTTCAATTTACATTGGAAAAAAAGATCAGCCTGTGGTTATCTCAAATTTAACTTTTTTCTCTTGCCTGCTTGGAAATGTTTCCACAGTTTTACATTAATCTGATCATTTGTTAAATTGTCATTTAGGAAATTCCTTTGGGATTAATTTTGGTGGTGTTAATGGAATCTCTTGCCTGAATTATTAATTTGTTACAAGTCATAAAGGTTCCTTTTCAATGCAAATCCTCACTTTTAGTTGGGATTGAGTTCTATGAACATTTCAGCATCTCCATTATTATTGCTTTAAAGATCCAGACATTTCTACAGCTGGAGGAAGATTTAACTGAGGAAGAGGAACCAGCAAAGTAAGAGTTTCCATTTGAGAGACTTCTTTAAAATTAATTAATTAATTTAATTAGTTTCTGGGTTAGGGAGAAGAGTTTGAGAGATTTCTTTAAAAATAATGAATTAATTCTCTGTGATATAGAGGAGCCAACAGGATATTTTGCTATTGCACTTTTATATTTCTGGTGCTAATAAATCATAATTTAGGATTTTTTTTTTTTAGCAGCTAAATTAGTGATATGCTTAAAAATATATGCACAAATTACTAGTTGTGTACAAAAATAAAGTTAAATGCTAAATTGGCTGTTGAATATTTTAACATGGAACTGCAGCACTCCAGGCTTGTATTCTGAATTTGCAAGGACAAGCTTTAAAGGAGAAGAGTAATATTGGAGCAAAAAATCTATTTTTTGCCATTTTTTTGGTGTATTTTAGATTATTTTGCTCCTACAGAATAAAAATAATTGTCCAAGAGCTCCTTTGTGTAAATGTGGGTATTCTTTTTGTGCTGACTGAAAAACCTTGAGTGGATTGGGAGTTTTAATGGAATTTTTTTTTTTTTTTTTTTTAATTTATTTAAAACCCAGGAGCAACAGCAAAATCAGCAAAGGCAAAAGCTCAGGGGATGGCAGTGGGGCTGAAATCCAGCCCAACGAGCTGTGCCTGTACCTGGCAGCCTGCAAATTCCTGGACACAGCCCTTTCCTTCCCCCCTGACAGGATGCAGCTCTTCCAAATGTGAGGGGGTTTTTTGGTTGGTTTGGGGTTTTTTTTTTGGTTTTACTTAGAGCTAGAATTTAAAAAATACACGGTGGAAATGGATTTTCTTGTGTTTGGGCTTGGTTGTTTATTAAATCTTATTAAAAATAAAATATGATTAAATTTAATTACAAAAGAAAATATTTTACTATATATTTATTTATTTACTACGTATTTATTAGATAATATTTTATTATTTTATACTTTATTAAAAGTACAGAAAGTTTAGCAACACTTCTAGCCATCAGCTAGAAGTGAGCAAAATGGAGATGAATCCATTATAGTTATAAGTTATAATTATAAGGTTTCTTAAAGCTAAACACTTTAATAGAGAAATAACATTTATATTTTTTATACTTTTCACTTAATAATTAAATTCTCATGACTTTCAGTGTGGCACTAAGTGTTCAACTAGAAACTATTACTTGAAACCATGAAGAAAAAGAAAGATGAGCACCAAAAGAGACACCACTCCAATTCTTCCATTTTATCTTATATTTATTACTATATTATAAAAACTTTAAAACCTTGCACAGTGGGAAATCACACACTTTTAAGTAACAAAACAAAAATCACAGGAATGTAAGTAAATAAATTTGGAAGCCTTTTTTTAAGGCCTCAAAGCAGTGTTCTGCAGGGGGTCAGTGGCAGAAAGCTCAAAAAACTCAGGATTTTGAGATCCAACATTCCTCTTGTTCCCTTATCCTTTAAAAAAAAAAAATCTACTTTCCTCAAGATTTCATTTTGGTTTTCATCAGTTTCTTTTAGGAGTGGTGATGTTCAGATAAATGGGATTTGGGAGAAGAATTTGGTCTTGGTGTAGGAGGATTTCATCATTTTCTTTAGGGGATTCCTTAACTTGGAAAATTGGGAGAGCAGAAAAATTGAGATTTTTTTTTTTTTTTTTTCCATCTGCACATACTTGGGAATGTTTTGGAGCTGGTTGTATTTAAATCTTAACAAATTACTAATGTAATCATTCATTAATAATATTTAAATCTTAACAAATTACTAATGGAACAATTCATTAACAGCAAAACAGAACATTGACGAGAGATTTTTCTAGAAACAACTGCACTAAACTAAGCATGATCCAAACAAGGATTTCCAATTTTTTATTTTTTTTTTTAAAAGAATCAATCCATTTATTCCAGGTACAAATGGGCCTTTGTACCAGAGGTGGACACAGAATCTTCTCCTGTCACCTCTCACCTGGTGGAAAATCACCAGGAATGCCAACCACACATCGTGAGGATCATGGATCTGCTCAAGATGAAATATGGGGTAAAGAAAAAAAAAAATCCATTTATTTACTTTTCCAAACATAAGATTTTAAGTTATTCAAAGGAATTTTAGATATTCCCTATGAGGAAAAGGAAAAAGCTGCCCAGAGCAGCTGGCCAAGGCCAGGTTGGACATTGGGGCTTGGAGCAGCCTGGGACACTGGAAGAGCTCATGGATGAGCTGGATGAATTTTAAGGTCCTTTCCAACCTTTTCCTTTTCTATTTTTTCTATTAAAAAAAAAGAATATTTCTATTATATCTAATATTTCTTTTTTTTTAAAATAAGGGTTGAGATTAAATGTGTGAGACTGTGAAACTATTATATAAATAAAAATCAAGAAACATCTAAATCCAAACAAAAAAATACAAACTGGGGGTTTTACAGTATTTTAAGTTAACAAATTTAAAATGGAGTTTTATTTTTTTTAACAAGGTTTTTTAAGGATAAACTGTTTAATTAAGCAATATTATTTAATTTTTTTTAATTTTTAATTTAATAATTAACTATTTGTGGTCTGCAATGTGGACTTCTTTGTTTAATTATATAATATTACTTAAATTTATGAAGAAGGATTAGTTTTTGTTTTAAAACTTCTATTTTGCTTTACATATAGTATTTTAAAACTTAAAAGTTTTCAACTATGTGATATTACACAGTTTTATTTCAACTACAAACTCATAATTTTAGTTTTATTATTTAATTTTGGAAGCCTTCTCTACAACCTTAGGTCAAAAGCAATGTTCTCTTGAGAGTCAGCAGAGAAAATCTCAATTTCTCAATGAGCAGAGTTCCAATATTTACCTTTAGTAAATCCCAATTTTTTATTTTTTTTTTTTTTTTATTTTTTTTTCTTTCAGGACCCAAAACACCTCGAAGGAATTCCCAGGAATCCCAAATTCCCCTTGCTGAGCTTTCACTCCGTGTCCAGCATCACTCAGCTGATTCCTTTTTTCCAGACTCTGTGCTGGGCATTCACAGCCCATGGCAATAATTCCCAAAATTCCCAGCCCTGTGCAGCTGCTTCCATGGATTCTCCTGGCACCAACAGCATCAGGATCCTGCAGCAGCTGGAGGACAGCGTGGAATGGGATTTTCTGGAAAATCTGGAAACCTGAGCCTCACCTGAGACCACCTGGATCAACAGCAAACAGGGAAAGCTTGGCTGAAATTCCCTTTTTTTTTTTTTTTTTTTTTTTCCCCCAGATTTTCAGCTGCATATTTTGGGATTTCTCCCTGCTGTTGCAGAGTGTTCTTCAATTATTCAGGAGCTGGTGGGGGGGAAAAAAAAGGGCAGTTTGGTGGGAATTTCTCAGAATTCCTGTGTTTTATTTGTTTTCCATGAGGATTAAAGACATTTTGTAAATAAGGGAAGAATATTTTGGATTTGATGCAAGTAGCAGCTGCCCTGGGATTTCTCCAGTATTTTAAAGTGCTTTTGGACCTGTGTCCTGAAGGCAAATTGAAGGCAAATCCAATGTTGCATGTCAGTGTACAATCAGTTTGCAGTGAGTCATTTCCTGAGGTGAAAGCCCCTTAATTTGGCCCAAATTGATCAAATTCTGAACAAATCCTCCAAATTCCTCACAGATGGATTTTCTAAATCTCAGCCTTGTGCAAAGAGCTGCAGCTTTGCCCTGGCTGTAATTTCAGCTCTGTGCTAGAACAGTATTCTTCAGGCTCAGCATTTCCTAATAAATCAGAAATGTGCATAAAACACAAAGTTATGCCAGGAGCATTTTGTAATTAGCATTACTTGAGGGGGGGGGGTTGGTTTTAATTAATCGATTAAAAGATTTGAATTCATATTTTTTAAATTAAAAGCTTTCATTCTTTCAGTGACTCAGGTGGCTGCAGCTTCTGAAATGCAACTAAATGGAGATAATGCTGTAAAAATAGAAACTGCTTAACTAAAACGAAAATAAGTTTTTTTACAGAACATTTTTTTTTTGTACAAAAGAATGTATTTGGCTGTTCCTGGATGGTGAGAGAGGTAGGGGGATCGTCCCAGTGCTTTTCCTAAATTAAAAAAGACATGGGAAATGTTTGGTTGGGAGTCAGGCATTTCTTTTTCCCAAACTCCCATAACAAACGTGGGAGGCTTCTCTGCATTGGGTTTTAGGTAGAGATGGATGAGATTTTCATCTTGGATTTATAAACTAAAATAATGAAACATCCTTTACTCTCATACTGGAATACTGTACAAAAATAATACCACAATAGGCTTGTGCTAAATGTATTTAAATCCTTTTGTATTTTTACAGTGAAGGAAAGTGGTGGACTGAGGTGTAGTCATTGAGAATGGGAATTATTTCTATTCATATAATTTATTAATGGTCTCTAATGCTGTTGGAATGAGCACAAGTGAAAAGTTACCCTTTGAAAGCATTACTTGAATATTGGAGCAGGCCACTTTTTAAAATGTTAGTGTTCATTTCCTGCCTATCTTCAACAATTTTTATGGATAATCTGAATACTCAGGATGCTTTGGTATTTTTACTTTCAGTTTCCTGCTGGTTGCATTTCATACTTGGGTATTTCCCTTAAAAATGCTGAGAAAGGAGAGTAGGGTTAGATGGGATGTTGGGAAGGAATTCCTGGCTGTGAGGGTGAGGAGGGGCTGGGATGGAATTCCCAGAGCAGCTGTGGCTGCCCCTGGATCCCAAGGCCAGGTTGGACATTGGCACAGTGGGAGGTGTCCCTGCCATGGCAAGGGTGGCACTGGATGGGATTTAAGGTCCTTTCCAACCCAAACCATTCCAGGATTCCATGATTCTGTTATTCCATGATTTTATCAAATGGCTGTTAAAATCTAAGACACCTTTTTGCCCCTAAACTGCTTTCAGTGGCCTCAGGCATTTTAAGGCATAATCCTTCCACTTTAGAAGAAAAAGTTCTTTAAAATACAGTATCCAAGCAGATCTTTTATAATTTTAAATAACATGAAAAAGGAGGGAAGGGCTTTAACTAAAAGTCCTGCTTGAGTGCTGGAGGGGGACAGTTCCACAGGCCCAAAGGGGAATATTTTATTCTTTTATTCCATAATTTTATTACTTTTCCATGTGGGACTAACTGTGATGGTTTTCTCCTTATGCTCCCACTGATAAATCCACTGAGGAACCACTGAGGGCTGTTCTGCTCTAAACTGCTCTTACCAAAGCAGAACAACCTCACTGTCCATGAATCTGGAAATGTTTTTGCCTGGAACTCCAGACATTTTCTCCTTTTCCAGGAGAGGAAATGCTTTTGCTTTGCAGTGTTTTTGCTTTTCAGTCTAACCAAGCTCAGCTTTATCTTGGACACTTCAGCTCCAATACAGCAGAGCCACAGTGCACAGAGGGAGACACTGAAATATTCCAAAGGATTTCATTTTCCTGAAAGAAAAAATTAGGAGGTGCAACCAAGGGAAACTGCTGAAGAGCAGCAGGACTTGAAGTGTAGAGCATTAAGTGATGATTGTGTATCCCATACATGAATGTAATTCTTCTAATAATATTAAATGTTATTTTGCAATACCTTTTCAAATGCAGTTCTTATTTTTCAGCCTGCCTTCACTGTTCATTTACCAACTTGAATTTTTATCTGACTCTGGAAAAGCTCCCAAATTCAATCACAGAGTGATTGAGATTGGAAAAGATCTCCAAGATCATCAGGTCCCAGCTGTGCCCCATGGCCACCTTGTCACCCTGAGTGCCACCTCCAGGTGCCACCTCCAGGGATGGGCACTCCAAAGCTCCCTGGGCAGCCCCTGCCAAGGCCTGAGCTCCCTTTCCATGGGGAAATTCCTCCTAAAACTTCCTGAAATTTCTCCTGCCAGCTACACAATCCCAGGTCCATGACTGTGCAATGAGCCACATCAAGGGACCCATCCAAATTAAAAACCACTCTTAAAATATTATCCTGGATCACTTTCCCGAGCTCTTTCATTGTTCAGCTGGACAAAAATACTGCCAGAGCAGAAGCAGGAACTAAATTCCTCCCTGACCACCCTTTCCAGGAGGAAATTCCTGCTGAAAATCCCATTTCAGGGCATGAGTGCTGTGGATCCAGCAGCAGGAGTCCCTGCTGGCCCCTGCCTTGGGAGAGGCTGTGCTGCTGCTTCTCTTCCCCTCTGCTCCTCCTCCTGTATCCCTGGCTTTTACATCCCTGAAATTCCCACACTGAAATCCCTGTCCCTACTTGGGACAAGCTTTGGGAATTGTGGCTGGAACATGGAGCACGTGGAGGCAGCTGCAGGGATCATGGCTTCACCTGGATGGAGGGAGAGACTTCCCAGGAAATCAGGAGCTGCTGCTGCACATTTTCACCTATCCAAGGGAATGCCCTGGAAGTGCTGCTTTCCATCCAGAGGGAAGAAAACTCTTCTGTACCATGAGCTTTAACATCTCAAGCTGGAGGAGCGCGGTTTAAATGATGAAATGGGAAAGCTGCTGTTCACATTTCACCCTTCCCTGTATCCAGGGCTCCCCTGGAAACTTGGGATGGATGTGGATGTGCCCAACACTGAGAGCTGTGGAGCCATCCAAGGATTGCTGAGAGAAAGAGCAGGATGTGGCTGGGGAAGGGGCCATGGGGAGGTGGGCAGCAATTTCTGGGACAAAATCCTTGTTCTGCTCCTGGAGATGAGCACAAGCACAGGGATGAGCTCAGAGAGTGTCAGACAGAAATCCTGCTCTGCTCCAGGAGACAACCTTGGCTGCTGGGGTCAAAGAAGAGAATCCCAGAATCATCAAGGCTGGAAAAGACCTTTAGGCTCTGTCAAGATCCAGTTATTAAAGTTATTAAAAATGCCTCTGCCTGAATTAAGGTGCAAACAAAACCATAGGCCAATGACAGTAATATGGATTTTATTTGATAATAAATATGAGAGAGAAAATGAAGATAGAAAATAAGGTGGGGGGAGACAGAGAGTGACAGGGACAGAATAAAGAAAATATCACCACTCCACTGATCCCAGTGATGTTCTATTGATGCTCTCCAGCAGCTCCTGGGGTGATGGTCTCACAAAAGCACAGAATCCCATGGGTTCCTGTAGCTCAGGCCAGCTGGGAATCCCAGGGCTGTGTCTTGCAGCAGACTCAGGATCTGTTGCATCCTATGCACTCCTGTGGTGCAAGGCTTCAGGAATAACTCTGGGGGGAACTTTTGGGGGGTCTCTGATGGATTCTGACACCCCCTGAGGTGTCCCTCATGTGGATGTGGCCTCTGGAGTTGGGGGTTTGTGTGTTCAGTGCCTCTGAGCAGAGTTACACCCAAAACCTCCTCCCCTCCTGGTTTTGGGTGGAGGCTGTGGAAACCTGGCCACTGTGGGCTGTGGTGTCCACACCCCAAACCCGGCCAGGGAAGGATCTCTGCTGGGTTTGGCTCTTTTGTGGGTGCACTCCTCTCCCTCAGTCCTGTCTGTTTATCCCTGGGATCACTGAACAATAGCACATGCAGGGGTTTGACTTCCAAAGTCCCAGTCAGGAATCTTCAGGGAGGCTTCTGTGCTTGTAGCTTCTTTATAGAGTTATTGTTATAATGGGGAAAAACCCTTTCATAACAATGTTGAAGGCATGAATCGTTTCAATCCCTGGCAGGCTCCTCATGCTCAGCCATGACCCCAGCACCACCAGCATTAAATTGAAGTGTGAACAAAGACTCTCCAACTAATTAAAGTTAGAAAGTGGTACATTTATTAGGACGTGGGACACACCCAGGAGAAATCTCCCACAGGCATGTGCAAAATTCACAGAGCTCCTGCTCTCCATTTATTCCCCAAAATCTTACATATTCATAGAATTACCCAACACACCTACACATATGCATTACCTGACCTCACCTACCTCCACTTCGGATTAAAATGAGCTCGAAGTCCTTTCATGCTTGTGCAGTTCTTTGTTTGAAATGGGTCAGTGGGTCTTGAAATGGGTCAGTGATCTTCTAAGATGAAGTCAAGGATGTCTTCCTCACGGTCAGCTTTTCACCTTTGCTTTGTTGCCAGGCTCTCTGGTTCCTTGGCCATGGTCCAAGCTCCCTAACCAGGTTCTGACTGGTTTTGGGGCCCAGGTGCAGTGATGGTTTCTTCATCTTTACAAAGCCCCATCCTCCCACCCTGACACAACAAAGCCAAGCAAATGATGTATTGTTTTAGCTCTAGCTAGCTCCATCTGCTAATAATTAACTTTTCTACATTGCTGCTACTCTCCTTGCTAAATTCTTAATCATTATATGTATTGTTTCTATCCCCTAGCTAAACTCTTAACCCTTTAATTCTTTAAGGCCTTGGATTCACAAGTGCCACATCTACAAGTTCTTAGAATGTTTCCAGGGATGGAGATTCCACCACAACCCTGGGCATCCTGTTCCAATGTTTTACCACCCTTTGCAGGAAGAAACGTTTCCAATACCCGATCTAAACCTGCCCTGGCCCAGCCTGAGGCCGTTCCCTCTCCTCCTGTCCCTGTTCCCTGGAGCACAGCCCGACCCCCCCTCCCTGCCCCTCCTGCCAGGGACTTGTGCAGAGCCACAAGGTCCCCCCTGAGCCTCCTTTTCTCCAGCCTCAGCCCCTTGCCCAGCTCCCTCAGCCCCTCCTGGGGCTCCAGCCCCTTCCCAGCTCCCTTCCCTGCCCTGGACACCTCCAGCCCCTCCAGGGCTCTCCTGCAGGAGCCACAACTGGACACAGCCCTCGAGGGTCTCTCAGTGCCAGCACAGAGGGACAATCCCTGCCCTGCTCCTGCTGGACACACAATTCCTCATCCAGCCCAGCTGCCAGTGGCCTCTTGGCCACCTGGGCACCCTCGGGCTCGTGTCCAGCCCCTGGCACCCAGCACCCCCAGGGCTTTTCCCACTGGAGCACTTTCCCACAGCGTTCCTGCTCTCCGGGCACTCAGAGTGTTCCTGTCTGGCTCCCCAGCGCGGTTCCTACTTCAGCACTTCTGCTGATTCCAAATGCCCAGGGCAGGGAA